TGGCAGCACTGATTCCTTGGGGAGAGAAGGTGCCGGAGGCTTGGAGGTAAAGAGAGGAGGGTCAGGGTCCTTGGGCTCTCAACGGGTGTTGGCAGTTCCAAATATTTTAAAAGGTAGTGTCATTTCTGCAGAGCCAGGTAAGCAGTTGGAAAACTCCCTGAAGTTGGGAAGAAAAATTGGTCAGGTTCTCTCAGAATGGTTGTCACATTTCACAGAACTTTCCTTAACTCAAAGAGGGAAAGTGCCAAACAGATAACATAAGAAAAGGGAAAGTGATACTATATGCCTGATGCTAAGCTGCCCTAGTATATATAATGACAGGAAACCATGGGGCTTGAAGAATTCCTTCAGGTCCAGAGGGCTGCTCAGATGTGACCAGGCCTTGATGGTGAGGCAAGTTCCAGCCACACCTTATCACATGCTATGGGACAACTGCAGCTTAAGAGGCACCAAATGGAGACGGGAAGGAAACCCACACAGTGACCCAGACACGCGTGGTCTGAGATAAAGGGACAGAACAAGACGACTGTGCAAACGGCCAAGGTTGACAAATGTTTCTGTATTTCCAACAGATGATCCAGTCATTAATTTGACGTGTTAGTTTGGCCAACATGCTCAGAGAGAAGAGACTATCCATAATTGTCTCATTCTCTAGACGACCAATCCATGCGCTGGAAACTTATTTTTTGCACAAGCAAAGTAAGAGAGAAAAAAAGGATCCCAAACTAAAGTAGCCACCCAGGTTGGGAAATCTTGTCCAAAATGATCTGTGATGCTTGCTGGAAACTTTATTTATATATTTTATTATTATGGGTGCTTGTATTGAAACGGTGACTTCTTTTCTGTGGTTTCTAAGAATCTTAATAAGTCTGAACAGCAGGGTCGAGGAGGGAGTCCTGAGAGCTGCTTTTTGCCTGTCCGAGTCCTGGTGGGGCATCAATGGCATTTGCTGAGGTGGGAAATGGGGCTCAAGGAGCTGTGTGCCAGGGAGAGGAGCCACTCCTTGGCAGAGGGCTGTTTCCTCCCTAGTTGCTACCAGCTCCAGGCATCTGCTGCAGGAGGGCAGTGGACAGAGGGCAGTGCCCAGGACCAGCTGCCTCCAGCCTGGCTGGGCACATTCAACAGTCTGTGGCCTCAAGAGACAGGAAGGGGAGCTGGTGGTCTACACTGAAAGGGGGCTGGTCATGCCAGTTCCTGCTGGGAGAGGAATGAACCAGGAGGCCATGGAGGAGACAGCTCTGGCCAGCTGCCTCCGCAGAGAATGGCACCCTGGTTCCCCAAGGACACAGAGGGAACTGGGGCACAAGTCTATGGAAGTTTGGGAGCAGAGTCTGCTAGGCTTGCACTCCTGCCTCCACTGCACTTCCTGCTGATGGCCCAGAGCTGTTTGCACAGGTTCAGCACAGCCCCTTGGCAGTGTCTGTCATGCCACAGGGTCATCAGGGTAAGGTGGGTCTGGGGCTCAGAGTCCACTGGTGTCGATGGCTGTCACGGAGGCAGGTGTTGAGGAGCGGGAGGTGGTTGCTGAGGTCTTGTCCAGGGCTGGGCTTGGCACACTGCAGTCGGCAGACCTGGCTGAGGAGCCCCTCCCTCCAGGAAGCAGTGGCCGACCCTGGCTGTGGGGACTCTGGCCGTGGAGGTTCTGGCCACAGAGACGGTGGTGTCGCTCCCAGTCCTTGTGCTGGCAGAAAGAGCCACAGTATCGTGCGATATTGCAGCCACTGCAGGTTTCGCTGGCTTTGCGGCCACAGTTCCAGCAGTTCTGCAAGACACAGCCGTTAGTTAGTTGCTGGGAAACAATGGGGGCAGGTTTGTGTAACTGTCACCCACACTACTGAAGAGGGAGCTCTCTGGGGAGAAGATGGGCTTTGGAGCGACATGTACCCAGCTTATCTGTCTCTACAGTTACCTGCTTGTGCTCAGGCAATACAAAGTCCTTATCTGGAGAACAGGAAACTGCTCACCACATGCTGCTGCACTAGCAAGATAAGGGGATGTAGGCACATACCAAGCTTCAGTGTGAGGCAGGCAAAGTCCCATTCCCACTGGAGGTACGAACTTGTTTTGACTGATTTTAAACTTCAGCAACTAAACTAAACTCTTTCCCGGGGCCCCTCCACCTAGCTGCCTAGTATAATACCACACGAGCACATGTGTCTAGAAAATCATTTTCTCTTCCCAATGCAAGAATGATCTTGATTACTTTCACTGACAACACCTGATCTTTTAAAAATAACCTGGCAGAGGCTAGGATGGGCGAACAGGAAGGCAGGTGTTCTGCTACCGCCTTTGCCCACCCTCCATAGGTGGGGTGGGTGCATGGGGTCTGGTCATGTTTCTGCAGGTTCAGGCCAAAAGGTTTTCTAGCGGGAGGTCAGGTACTGCTAGGGTTTAGCAGAATCATCCAAGGGAGGGGAACAAGAAGAGCGCCAGCTGAGAATGCACACACTGTAGTATAGGAGATCTGAATCAGGTGAGGCTAGGTTAGAGCTAGAAGTGGCAGTGGTGAAAGGAGCAGTAGAAAGAAAGTAGAAAGGAGCTGCTGAACAGACATATTTCCCCAATCAGCTATGAAGGAGGGTGTAGCCCAGCAGCATCCCTCAGTCCTCTCCTCCCTTGGGTCCTGGTGAGGGTTCCATGAGTACAACAGGAGTGATCTGTGCCTGAGGACCCAGGGCCTGTGGTGAGACCCTGCGGTAGCGGGCCACGGGAAGGGCAAGGCTAGTTAAGGGATCGGGAAGGATGCGAGCAGCCGACTTCCCTGCCCTCCTCCAAGGTGTCCAGAATGCAGAAGCCAATCATGAGGCCTGCCCTGCCAACTCCTAGAGTGCGCCCTTAAAGACACGGTGCCTCAAGAAATCAGCACTCCTGTGAGTGTATAAAACAAGGGACGAGCGCTGAATGGGGCCTTGGGACCATCTAACCCCCTCTGCATGTGGGGTGGGCACCGACAGCAGGTGCTCTGTTGTCTTTGGGGGCTGCTGTGGAAATACCAGCCAGAGGGGTGGTCCCAGTTGCAAAGAAGAGCCTGCACACCCCTAGTTGAGTCTATGAGAACATCTCAAGCCATTCAGATCAGGGCAGAGTCCAAAACCACCAGCCCTTTCCCCTCGGCTGTCATTAGATTTCACATAGTGTAGGTCATTTATGAGCCAAACAGCTCCCACAGAAGCAGCATCCTAGAAATGCAAGAATGACGAGGTTAGCGTCAGAGAGGCATGGGTGAAAGGGACACTTTAATGTCTTTTTCCCTGTGGCTTTCCCTTGACTTAACCACAAGGCTATTGTGTCAAGATATTAGACAAAAGGTTTACTGTTATAGTTACCTTTCAAGTCAACATTCCTCAAAGCTGGAGCAGTATGTTTGCCCAAGTAGAACTCTGTAGTTAAGGTTCTAGACCTTCTGAGTTACTGAGCAGGAAGTTAGAAAGAGGATTCCAGGATGTCCTTTGTGAAGCACTGGCCATTGTTTATGCCAATTACTTCTCCAAGTGTGGGTGGGGGTGTGTGTGTGGGGGGCACCTCATTCAGAACTAACTCTGGGTCATATCCCAGACTTTCTGAGCTTATTGCAAATTTGGCCCAAACAGGGAATAACTCCCATTTTACAATCAACCTCTAGTCCATTATTTTTGCTGGGGACAAAATATGTCCTGTGGCAACGGTAAGGGGAACTTTCATTTCACTTCTCCACTGGAAGCACCACAGGGGAGGTACTCAGAGGTAGAAGCCATTCTGCCAGAGCAGGAGCTGCACATCTTACACATGGTCTGCTGTTAACAAAAGCAAAAAGCTTCCTAACTGCAGCTTAAAGGCACTTCCACAGCCACGATGAAGTTACACCTTTCTGAAAGCTACAGACTAGCAGACAGCGGCTGCTGCACCTTCACTGCCCACAGAAGGAAACTGACCCTCTGGAGCACATCACTAGTGTGACCGTCTAGGAGTAGAACCATGGCTCCTAGCCTCAGTCCTAGTGTGCCAGAAAGTCTCTCAGGATGACGGAGAAACTCCAAAACTCCAAGGGAACCTGACCTGCTAGATTCCAAGTATAATGTACTAGACAAAACAGAGAGAAACTGACCTTTCTAGTCCAAAGCAAATTTACTCAAAGCTCAGGTATTTCCATCCCTCCCTGTTTTGGAAGTCAAGTGTCTGCAATGCATGCTAGGTGTGCCTCACCAACTGGGTACTTTGCACACTGTTTTAAAATATAGTTCCACAGATGCAATCTTAAAGTGAAGCACTGGGATTTGAACTATGCAGTCCAGATCCAGAACAGTCTGCATCCAGAATTCATGCTCTTAGTCAAAAAGTTACACTCTCTGGAGACAGACACAGTTAAATATAGATATACAGTTAGATAAATATCAAAAAATACATATATTGACACGGATTGCTATAGATACAAAATTAAATACACACGACAGAAACAGAGGCGCCACTGCTCAAAAGCTAAAGACAAGAGGAGAAGCCGGAGCGGAGGGCTAAAGGAACTACATTCTCACAAGTCAGTGTCTTCACCAGAGCAGCTGCTACAGTTTTTCCACATCTTGTAGATGGTCATGTTATTTAGGCATTTTCACTGAAGTGGATTTAAAAACTAGGATTAGAAAGTAAAACCCTGCCCGGTGGTGCAAGGGCACTATGAAGCTATCCGCAGCCACTGCAGCCTGAGTTCGAGCCCTGGGCAGGGGGTGACCCACATGGCGCAGCAGACCTCCTGTCTAGCCCGCTTCCCCTCCTCAGCAGTGTACTTCAGTAGATCTGCCGGTTCTGCTCCCCACTCTGTTGCTGGTGAATCCTCTCATACCCTGCACTTCTGGACTATACCTACTCCCTGTATGCATACATTAAAAATAATAATAATAAAAAACAAAACAAAAAGCACACACACTCAGCAGGGCACACAGCAGCCCTCTCAGTGAACAGTGGGCATCACTGTCATACGATGTCCTATCAGCACCCCAAAATTCTGTCTTTTACTAGCAAATTTTCAAAATTTAAACCAATAGAATGAATCAGTATGCAAGACTGAAATACAAAATTTAATTTACTCTGTTGGTGTTTAAAGAGGTGCAAGGGAAAGCAACAAAATTCTTCTGGTACTAGATAAAAATTTTAATTGCCTAATAGAACAGGAGACTGTTTCTTACTGCCCAGCACTTGAGAAAAAGTGGATTTTGTCAATCTGGCCAATCCGGCTGCCAGCCCCTACCAGCCCCAGCCTGGCTCACAGTGCTAACGGAGCTCTGACCTCTGTGGACTCTTCCTGCTCATTTATGACGAGGAAGGCATCCTCTGCAGCCTGTCGTTTGACATCCGCTATGGTCTGTTCCATCCGCGCTCTTTCTGTTGCAATCACTTCAAAGGCTTTTTGCTCTGCCTCGGCAACGGCTTTCTGTACTTCTGACATGGCCTGAATTTTCACCTTATTCACAGCTTCTTCTAGAAGAAAGTGACAGTAAAATCAACTGGCCGAGAAATCTTTTCCCTCCCACCCTGTATCATTTCTAAGAAGGGACAAAGCCAAACGACTCTTCCAAACACACACAAGGATGAAGCTATATGCTCACTTATACTCAGCCATTATGCAACCATTGATGGGTACTGCAGGGAGTAGGACTATGCTAAGGACTGGGGTACCTACTCTCAGGCAGAGCCCCTATTCTCCTGTTTTGAGGAAGTGTAAAGGTGGATTAGGGCCATGATGTCAGTAAAAGAGATGAGGATTCTAAGGGTGAACATGGGTCAATTTTCTAAATGGCAGAGGAAGAACAAGGAAATGTATCTTAGTTGAGATGCCAGGTGAAAACAAATTTTTGGAAAGTCTTGCATACTACAATAAGGAATCTGACTTTTTTTCTAAAGGAAACGTGAACCCCTAAAGGATTCTGTGAAGGGAGAAAAGAAGACAGAGATACCAGCTGAGTGGCTAGGGTGATAATCCAGCTGACAGGACAGACTCTGAATGAGCCCTTAGGGAGTGGCACAGAGGCAGCCTTTAAGCAGAATGGTAGTAGCGGCTAAGGGCCTGGATGTGCTATGCAATGAAACAAATAAAAGGCAAAAGGCTTGTGTAGAAGCAAAGGAGAAGGTTGGGTGGCTCGGAGGCATCCAGTCATGAAGCAACTACCTTTCCCCTAAATATGTATTCTAAGCCTGCACAAACTAGTGAGTACACAGGTTTATAAGCAGACAGATACATACCAGTTTTCTTCCAAAACTCCACAGGCACATATCCTGCTCCTGACCTGCTGCTAAATTCCCGCTGAGAATCTAAAGAGAGATAAATGGTATAGGGACATAAGCTGTCTATGAACGACAGTTAAATTAGGCTCACAGTTCTCCGAGAAATCTCTGGTAAGGAAATGCTAAAATTTACGAAGAGTCATTCATGAAGAATGGAGTGAAACAGAATGACAATATAACTTACAATCCCAACTATCCTCATTTTTGAAAATGAAGAAGGTGCCAATAGTAATTATGACATGGTAACAGGAGTAAACCAGGTTGGAACAGAGTTTATCAGGCTAAATGCCTAAGCATAGAGTGAAAAATGATAGTAGAGATTAATTAATATAAAGCAATGTTTGAATAACACCAGCAAGACCTCAGTCCTGGCTAGATAAGAGCCAGCTTATAGCTACAGTTTTCTCTGCACTCTGTGACAGCCTACCTACATTCATGCAGCTGCGGTGATAGAAGGTTTGGGATTTGGATGTGATCTGAATCTGGGGTAAATTCCAACAATTTATTACAGGAAATATTTGTGAGGCCTTATATCATAAGGGATACCTGAGGATTAGCTTTGAAGTTTCTATGAAAGGAAATAGACTACAATTGTAAGTATTCTTTGATATATTACTATGCTAGATATCCCACCCAATGGTGCTAATCTATGGTTAGCTTAAGAATCACCTCTGTGGGCAGGGTAGGGGAATGAGAGCTCTTAATTACCAATGTCCTGACTTCAATATTTTTGGTAGTCATTTTGAGACTAACAGCTGTTTTCTGTGGAACATGCCAGGTCTATCATAACAAATTTGTTCTTTCTGAAGGAAAAAGGGAATTTAAAGTATATGGCAAGAGAGTCTGATTACAGATGTATTCCCATTCACAGGGGACCTTGGGATAGGGAATCTTTTGGTTAACAGGTGATATTTCAGGGGAAAAGCTGTAGCATTCTGAATGTACCTGGAATGAGAGAATAGTTTCTCATATCTCTGTTGGGAGAGGTAAGGTGGGACTAGAAAGTAAACATTCTGTAGGAGCCCTTAGTGGCTGTGCCTGGTGGTTGACAAATGGTATTTTCCTGGATGGGATAAGGAGGTGAGGTGAACACTTTCAGGGCTACTGTGAGGAATAAATATGATAAATATGTATCTAGTACATTCAGTCAGACTGAATTTAACAACCAGATACTCTTTGATCTTCACCTAAGATATACCTATAGAGAGTAAAACAGAATAAAATTGTAAATACTCCCATTTTCCATCAGAAAGAATGTTTCTTAAACATGTTAGGTACTAAGTACTTGGCATATCTTCTCACTTATTCTACTTAATTACCTTGGTCACTCAACTTCACAACTGAACACCATCTTCCCTTAAAGTAAAATGTAAAAAGCCTTTCTTGTGATCTTAGATGAGACGTGATGCGCCTCTTACCGTTGCTGAGAGAATCTGCATTCCCAGGACTATGTTGCCTGGAGACTAGTTCACTCCCAGTCTTTCTCATGTCTGTATTTTCATTATAGCGTCTTTTCCAGTAGTTCAGTTCTTCACGATCAGATTCCTGACAGCGCCGCAGAACTGCCATGGAACGCCTTGTCTTCTCTACCATTTCCATAATGCAATTCAGGGCCTGAGCCAGAGAGGAAGCCAGGCAGAGACGAAGACAAGGGCATTCAGAAGCAACCAAATCAGAACAGCCAGGACAGGTGAACAAAATATGAAGAATGAATGCTGAAGTATTTAATAGGTTTAGTAATATCAAGTTTACATTTCTTCTATTTCTTTTGAAATACACACACATGTATAATTTATTAATTTTAAAGCAATACCTTTTAGACTGAGGCTAAAGCAGTCAGATTTAATTTAATTAGCAGTCTCATTTTAATATGGTCCTTTAAATTCTATGATGAAATCGTATTGTCTCTACTTAAAATATACCAAGTCATCCAATGAAACCAGAGATTTGTATAAGAATATAATCAAAGAAATATTGTCCTGTGACAACATCTCTCAAAAAGGAAAAACTGCTATATATAAATAAACTTCACACAGATACTATATTTTCTCTTCCCTTTTTAGAGTGAAGGGAAATTCTTCAGATAGGAAAGAGCTTGGGCTTCTACTCTGCATTAGTATAATAATTCTCATTTGCATTTGGAAACATTCCATTTATTTAACACTTCCTATATATATTTGTAAGTCCTGTGATAAATAATTCATCACCCCCTCCAGTGTATTCAAAATATATTTTTTGCTAAGATAGGAAAATTAAGGCTAAAAGAGATAAAGCAAGTTGCCCATCAAAAAAAGGTAGAGAAAGTGGCACCTAACTCACAAACCTACATTTTTAGTCATTATACTGTATGACTTTGCCTGGCGGTGACCTAAAGTGATCACCCCAACCCAAAGATTTGGGAGAAGAACTCTTTAGTTCTCTGACTGGAGGAGTAGCAGATAAATCAGCTTTTACTGTAAAGGTGTTATGGCTCTAGACATGTGTATTTCAAACACATATGCTTCATTACTGCTGGAAATACTAAAAATTAAAAGTAATAAATAGTTGAGAAGTTAAACAAAATAAGATTCTTACATGATCAAGATGTTTCCATTCATCAGCCCATTCCCTTTCTGTCAAACGGTGGTCTACTAACTCATCTTGATAACCTCCATTTAGGCCTATTAGAAATGAGAAGAAATTAATTGGAAGAATACAGTGGACTACACTAGAACAGAATTCTACCAAGTAAATACACAGACATTCATACAATTATGAGCACATTTCTAAGGCAAAGATTCACAATGGCATGTAGGACCCACAAAATGGCAAAAGACCAACAAAGGACCACAACTCAGTATATATTTAAAAAAATTCTTAGAAGTAGATTAGGAAAGCTAAACAGTTCAAAAGACAACAGGTAAAAGAAATAAACAGGTTTGTCTGATTAAAAAAGTACAAGTACAGGTGATCGATAAACATATTAAAAATTGTAAGTAATCAGGCTATACAAATAAAATCTTCACTAAGATATTAGTTCATGGCTAGACACTGGGGAAAAAAATGTCAGTACCACTAAGTGTTGGTAAGGATGTGGCATGATGAGAAAGCTTAGCCACAAAAGAATAAAAAGAATAGTGGTATGAGCATTGGGAAACAACTTATTACCAAAACTTTTTTTTTTTTTTTTTGCTTATATAATGAAAGTTGCAGGAATGTAACAACTGTAAATCAAGGGCATACAGAATTAAGAAAAAATCCTGTCACAGGGCCTCCCTGGTGGAGCAAAGGGCTAAGTCTCATAATGATTCTGTATCTGTACTAGCAACTGCCTATTTCGTTATATTTTCTAGTGTAATCATGCCTGAACACTGTACTCCTTATTATAAAATTGTTTCTTATATATTATAGTTAGAATACTTAACCTAAACTTGTGATTATTTAAGATAGGTTTCATTTTGGAGACTAAAAAGGGTTATTGTATTTAGTAGAGGGGCTGGAGGAATGAACAGCTTGCTAAAAGAAGATTGGGGAACAATAAGGAATCCATAACCAGCCTGTGAGACAAATAGTTAAACCTAAATCATCAAGTTAGGGCCAAAAGGTCTTCCAAGTACACTTCAAGATGAAAAAAAGTTTTTCTAAAATCATTAGGAAAACCTGATAAAATTACTGACAGTTTTTAGCATACTTCTCTTTCAGATATTCAGATAAGCTGACCAAAAAACTGTATATGAATACAGAAGAAACCACTTGCAAATCCAGTTATTAACAGATAAAAAAGAAACACAGGGGAACAGGAACTGGATCATGTAGAATAGCTTCTAAGGAAGGCACCATACTGGGGAGGCCTTCAGACACCTGGGTCTGAACCTTGTCTCTGTCACTTGGCTGTTGTGCGATTTTTGGCTACAGTTGCTTTATCTCTCATATGCTGTGAGGATGAAATGAGATAATGTAAGTACAGCACAACCTAAGGGCACCTAAGACTCAGTAAATAGTTGTAACTGAGCACCGCTTCGTGTGGCCTTTGCTTTTAAGCTATCACTGTGTGCAGCTAGGGCCTTGTCATGGTCTAAACTGAGATCTAAGTCAGAGGGACACGGGCAAGTACATGGGTTACTGTCTTTTCCTCCACAAGTTATTCTGTAGTGGGAATGTGGTTTGGGAACAACCTGGAAGCTAGTTAGCTCTGACACATGCTCTGCAGTTGAACTTCCAAGGATCTTCCAGTCAACTTGGAAGAGCCCAGAACAAAGAGTACTGTCCAAAGTCGATCTTGAGTGAAGTGTGTTAAGGGATTTTGGTTTCTTACTGAACCTAATGGGTATTTAGAATGTATGTACCACACATTCCAAATGTGACAATGGTAGTGGCATCTCCATTTTACAAGTCATCTGCACCTCTGAAAGTCTAAGCAAACTGCATAATATCACACAACTATTGAGGATGTGGAATCAAAATTTAAGTTTAGATCTATAGCCATGCACTTTCACAGTAAGACCACAAATTTTACATCTTTCTTAATTAAAGATATTTTACTCTGAAATAAATCGAGTTACAGAAAAGTTACAAGGATATACAAAGAATTCTCAGATACCCTTAACCTAGAGCTTCTAAATGTTAGTATTTTATCCCACCTGCTTTAACATTCTTTATTTTTTCCTGAACATTTGAGAATACGTGACATCTACTTACTCTAAAATATTTCCTAAAACTTTTTTAATCCTAGTTATAGTATAGCAACAAGCTAGAAAGTGAGGGCAGCTGAGATGGACCAAAACTCTATTATTTTTTTATGTGTAATATTGTTTTATCTTATCAGTGGGAAAAAACAGTATTATTTTACTTTATCTCTGAGTAAGAAAGGAACCGAAGGACTCAATCTGAGTTTAAGCCATTACCATGCTACTTAGGTCACTTACTAAGATTGTGGTGTCTATCACGAACTTCTCGATGTTCTAGCATTTTGCTGGGTTCACGATACAGGTGGGAAGTTGCAATATCTTCCAAGGTATAGTGTTGAAGAGGTGGAGGAGTAGGATGGAACTGGCCCCCAGGATTCATGAGTGGTACAGTGAGGGCAGGGCTGTGTCGGGGAGCTGGGCTGATGGTACACACTCTCTTGGCTGGGGGCTCAGGAGGAATGGCATCTCTTTCAAAGCCGCTCTCTTCCCTCCTGCAGAAACACCAGAACAACATATTTGACTCTTTCAACAAGTGTTCAAGCAAACGTTTTCTGAATGCCTATTTTATGTTATGTACTTTCACAAATAGGAAGACTAAAAAAAAGATATGAACGAGGCAACAAGTACTGAGTCGTCTGAGTGTCAGCTGGTTAATAAAAATTGCTGGCTTATTCTAGCATAAAAAGAGAGTCAAATCATCCATAAGTGACAGGAATAGCAAAGCCTTATGAAGCAAAGAAGAGGTTGAGGAGCTGACTACTTTGTAATGTGATAGGGTTATAGGTGCAACTATGTTTAAGATTGTTTTAAATTCAAATTTACTATTGTGTAGGTTAGTAATTTGAAACAATTCTCTGCAAGGGAAAAAAGACACATAATTAATACATGCATGAACTGGTAAGGTTTTAGGTCACTAGCTTCAATTGTGACAGATTTTCTACTATTAAAATATTGCTTCTTTGACAAACCATAAAATATTGTAGTCACTCATTCTGAAATTTCCAGAATGAATTAATACAATTTCAAACTTGGTAAAGTTGTTTCATCAGTAAGTATCAATAATAAATTATTATGCCTTTTACAAGATTTCACAAATCATGAAATATATCTTAATGTATATTGTATTTCTTATGGTTTTGGTTCAATGAACCTCATGATCAAGTGCCCACAATGTTGAAAATGGGAATGCCTAGGAGCTTCTCCTATAGGTTCGAGATTCATTCTGTTGCCTGATGTTGCACCAAAGCAAATTCTGAGACCATACCTAGCTATAACCACAGAAATGAATCTTTTCTTTCATAATGTAAGCTACAGCTCTAGGTGGTTCCAGAAAAGCCAGCAAAGCTTTTTCTACTCACCTCTCTGGACTGGGCCTCTTGCCGTTCCCATGCACTTCCATGAGAAGCTCAGAAGAGTCAGCAGGTGAAGCAATACTTGTGTTGAGCAGAAGGTGCTCATGCTGTGCCAGGTACTGGGATGGGGTCTGCTTGGCGGCACGAGCACAGTGCAGCAGCTCTCGCTGCAGCAGGGGCAGGTTGGCCTTGAAAAACAGAGGCAGGGTCTGAAAGCAGTTTCCTTATTGTTGAGCTAACATGACAGTGCTCAGCACCTCAAATGGCTTTCATAAACCTTATGATACAGACAACAGCCCTCTCTCCTTGTCAGTCTGATCTTCATATGCCTTTCTATGTGTAAAGTAACCTCTCTTACTGAATTTGAGTTACTGATCAACTTGTGAGAGGAAGGGACTATGCTTTGTTTACCTTTACGGTCTAGTACAGACAAAACTACAAAGGTTTTTGAACACAATAATTTAAAAACTTATACATTTTTGAAGACTTAGATCAGTTACAGAGTTGATGCTGAAGTCATTTTTTATCATTACAAGACTTGGTTTCTTCTGAATCCCACCCCGTATCTAATAGCATTGCTTGACCTTCCCTCATGTTCTTTGTGACAGCAGTCATGACATTCTGGGAATGGTGATTGTTATGGCTAGACTGGAAAATAGAGCTTTGAAAAAAATACTGGAGTAGATAGGAGAAGGCCGTAAGACACCAATTAGGATGTGAGGTTGTATATGAACAGTGCCCAAACTGGTGCTATACTGTGTCCCGGTTGGGATGTTTCCTTATTTGTAAAAGGTAAATTAATTATGTACTGATTATTTTCCCTTCTAGCAAACCTTTTTTAATGGCGAAACATCATATAATATCTAATACAACTTTAAATTTAACTCTAACTCCTTCAGGAGTTACTTTTCTTGTATTTCCTGTAATAAGACTCTGTTTTTCTCTCCAAATTTAAAAGGAAATTAGACTGAGGTCATAATAAAAGCCTTTCTGCCAAGTGAAACAGATGAGCAATAAGAGTTTTAGTATATGCAAGTATTCATCCCATCACCAAGGGTTAACTTAGCAGGCACCATAATTAGTGACTGTTTTAAAGCAGAAATAAATTGACAAAACCCAAATGCTAGCCAAAAAGCTGCCATAACAACCCACCTCATGCTGTTTTTCAAAATAACAGTGTTAAGAATAGGGAACTTGATGGTATAAAACACTCTGTAAGTCTGTTTATAACCACAATCTTGTTGCGTCTATAAAAGCTTAGCAGGAAAAAAAGAAACATACCATGTCATATCTTTACATTTGTGCAATATACTCTTTGAGGAATTTTTTAAAATGCAAATTGTTTCCTCTTAACACAAATTTCATAATCTTTCTTGACTTCCAGAGTCTTAGGGGAAATAACTGTCTCATGGTTCTGATTTACAGAAAAGAGACTAAGAGAAGCGGCACAGCTGTTTCAGGGCTGAAAAGGGCGTCCAGGCTGTCCTGAGTGACCAAGGCATCAACACTATCAGAATAGATCCACCACTCAGGCCGCACCCAAGACCCAGCTGTTTTCCTGTACGTCTATTTTCTAATGTTAAAAGCTACCCTCAAAATCTTGTATCAGAACTTCAGCAAGATGATTTACCTTTTTGATACTATTAACATTTTCTTAGGAAATGATGTAAAAGGGGCATATTTATTTGGTCAACTACTTTACACTGTGTGAGTCAAGAGGCAAAACTGAAGATATTATTTCACTATGCATATAAAAGAGAAAATTAATTCCCACAAACACTGTATTGACAAAAGTATTGGCAAAAACAATTGACTTCAGTTTTCTCATTCTTTCATTCACAGATGCAGTATCTGTCCACTACTAATAAAAAGAATGGCATTATGGGGGGGGAAGTTGAAGGTAACAATTTAATTAGGGCTCAAACTTAAATATTCCCCATTGTCAAACTGACTGCAAATGTTCACAGAGTATAAGAAACATTCTTTCAGCACTGATTTTTGTATTCTCCAGGACTCTATAAAACATGTGGTAGCCCAGCTTGGGTCACTTTTCCATACTGCTTGATCTAGAGCACACTGGTATCTGACCAGAGGCTTTCTCGGCTTTTGAGTTATTTTACAATTCTGTAAGCTACATATGAGTGATAGAAATGCAAAATAATGGTCTATGGACATGCATAAAATTACATTCAGTTGGGGTTCAATTTGATTTCCCTTGTCCAATGTAGACTAAGTTAGTTTTATTTCTGTTTACACACTCAGATCAATAATCATAAATATAAATTTGCCTATTCTTTAGATTCTCCGCTCAACTGCTATAAAAACTTACATACACTGAAGTAAATAAACCTTATTACGTTGAGTTAAATAGAATGTTTCACATGTTCACTTTTTTATCTATATGAGTCATATATACTTGTTTTTTAATTTAATAGGAAAAAATAGTTACTTAATAGCGCATGTTGGACACCACTTTCACCAAATGAGCAAAGCAAATGTCACCAATTAGCAGAAAAATTAGCATCTATATCTCCTGATAGCATGTAATGATACCACTTGTCTGGTATTCCTGCCTGAAATGCACAAACTGGTACTGATTATGAGAAATACCAGAAAATACAAATTGAGGTCATCTGTAAAGTAACTATCCTGTACTCTTTAAAAATGTCAAGATCATAAAAGGCTGAGACACTGTTCCTGATTAAAATGTACTAAAGGGACATGACAGAAATGTAAGACATTGCTCTGAGTAAGTTCAGGATCAAAAAACAAAACAAAAAACAAACACCACAAACACCACCACTTTTTCTTTTGCTGAAAGGATATCAGTGGGACATGAATAAGGTCTATAAAAAATAGGATTGTACAAATGTCCATTTCTCGGTTAGATAATTGTACTAAAATATTTAGATGTGTCATGCCTACATTGTACTCTCAAGTATTTCTGAGGCAAAGAGTCTAATGATGCAGATGTGATGAAATAACACTTAAAAATCTGAGTAAAAGATACACAGAAATTTTATTGTATGCTTTGCAACTATTCTCTAAGCATACAATTATTTTAAAGTAAAGCTTTTTAAAGAGAATATATTACACATCAATTTAACACTGCCTTACCAGGTACGTACAACAATACTTAACATTGCTCCTGAAAATTATTTTCTGGGAACACTCATTTCAGAGGAATAAATAGAAGCTAACGTTGACACAAACATCGATTTCTCACAGGTTCTCCTGAACTTAGGGTATTTCTAAATTGCAGAGATTCTTCTCAGATCTAATTTATACTCTTCACACTCTGGTGGCACCCAAAAGATTTAACTTTCCTCTGACAAGAGCCCTGCCTCCATGCCACCCCCATTCCTTCTTACCCACTCACTTCCTGCTCCCCTCCTCTACCTCCTCCTTCTGTGAGTTACTAGTATTGTCACAAAAGGTCTTTGCAAGGCTCATCTCAAGTTTATCTGCAGACTGCATTCACATCTCTGTACCAAGCCATAACAAAAAGTTGCAATGTAAGAAAATGTGGTGTACTGTCCTAATCACAGAATAGGGAGAGGTAGCAGATCTTGAGGAAATGTTTAAGATAAAGTACATTTTAGTAGTCAGTTTTAAGAATTACCTTGAGGAATGGAATCACAAAAGGGCGAAGGGGAAAATTTGTAGCTTCTTGGAGCTTACAATGGAATTCTTCAATTGTTACTGTTGAATTCTGAAAAGAAAAAATAGTAGTTCAACTTCTAAAGCTTGACAATATTCTCCTAATGTAAATAGTGGGAACTGATTCCTTTTAAGCCCAAAGGAAAAGGCCAATTTCAAAGACATTACTGTACTTGAACGCTTCTTAAAAGTTAACCAGATTCTCTTTCCTATATGAAACAGGTAAGGCCTCCCTGATTTTCTTTTCTATTACTCTAAAACTAAATTCTGTTGTATGTTCAGAAGACTGGGGTGCAGAAAAGGGCAATGTCTTCCTCACTAACCATAAAGAAAGGCACTTGTACCGAGGTCTCTTGTATTGATGGGTTCATTGCAAGGTACCTCAGGTACAAGAAATCTAGCGGAAAATGTTTCCAGTGAATAGATCCCCAGCAGTGTAGGAAGTCAATTTATAGACTCAATAATCCAGCAATTAAAGTTATTAATTAGCATTTTCCCTATAGTTTTTCACAGGTTCTGCTTACCTCCTTGCTATCAATTCCCCAAATCATCCAAAACAGGTGAAAAACAAAAACAAAAAACGTCAGTGGACTTCTACCTTCACATGGTATCTTTGTATATCAAAGCACCTTCAAGTAGGTAAAGTTAAGATTTTAGCAGTCTTAGGAAAGTTTCTTTTTTAAAAGATTTATTTATACATACAAGAACTGGGGTACAGGCCAGAGGTGTGTATGTGTGTGTGGAGGGGGTTGGGGGATGAGTGAGCAGATTCTGCAGAGATAGAGTGGGGAGCAGAATAGGCTGACGGATGAAGTAAACTGCTGAAGGGAGCAGGGGTGCGACAGGCAGGGTCACCTCATTGGCCAGGGATCCAACTCATGCTGCAGTGGCAGTGGATAGCTTAGTAGTGCTGCACTTTAACCTGATGCACCACCAGGAAGGGTCCAGTCTTAGGAAATTTATTAATTAGCATTTTCCCTGTAGTTTTTCAAATGCGGCTTTAAAATGGGATTCTTAGACCTCTTAAGAGAATGTATAACTATAAATATTTTCCACAAATTTAGAAAATATTTTTATTTCAGTTCCTTAAAACAGAATAATAACAAAAACAAAACAAAACAAAGAAAACCCTCAACAATATAACTGGGCATTAATCTGAATTCTTGTTTTCCTGAAAGAAAAATTACCACTTCTTAGAACTGATTTTGACAAAATGGTCAATTTTTCAAAGACATAATATGTACTGTATGGTAAGCTGTGTAATTATTCACCAGCACAATGCTGCATTTAACAATAAAAAATAGAAAATATATAGGTTCACAAACAGTTAACTGCATTAAAAATTACAACACAGTCAGGCCCTCCCTGGTGGCGCAATTTGTTAGGACGCAGCACTGCAAGCTATCTGCAGCCACTCCAGTGCAAGTTCAATCCCCAGCCCTGGAGGTAATCCACATGGTGTGGCAGACCTCTATTGACCCACCCACTGCTCCCCTCAGCGTGTACTTCCTCAATCTGCCTGTTTTGCTCCCCTGTTTTGCTTCCTCAATCTGCCTGTTTTGCTCTCTGCCTGTCACTGCCCCTGCACTTCTGGCATGTACCCCAGTTCTGTATGCATAATAAATATTAAAAAAAATTACAACACAGTCATGCATGAGGATACTTATGGGGGAAAATTTATATGCACTAATTAGTGAGGAAAGGTGTCTGTAATATATTGTGGAGGGGGAAAAAAGTGTATGTTTTCTACTAATCCATCTATGAAAATAACACACACACATTTATATTGTACGTAAATGTCCACAAAGACTATTACAACAGTTATTTCTGGATGTAAAATTTTGTTGGGTTTTTCAAATATATATTAGTACTCAGGAAGCACAGCCACTGAAGAGAGATGATGGATATAACTATCATACACTTTCACAAGGATTTACCTTTTTATACATTGCAAATGAGCTTCTACTTCTATCATTTTTTTTCTTTTACTCTTTAAATTATCTTTAAGCACAAACTCTATGTAAATCTGCTGCTAGAACTATATAACATTCTGATATCTGCCTTGCTTTGAAACTCATCTGACATTTTAGGGTCTAGAGTTTATTAGTAATATTTTTTCCACAGTAGTCTAAAAGTGTGACCAAAAATGTTTTTCCAGAACAAAATAAAAAATGTTTCTCTCAACGACAGGAGAGCTCACAGTGCCTAAACTATTTTTGCAAACAATATATTTTATGCTGTATGCTATATTGTATTTCTGGGAATGTGGAATTTTAGCAGGTGTTAGAGACCCTGTGTACCAGACAGACCTTGGACTGAGTCTCTAACAGGAGAGTGTGGGTAGAAATATGGCACATGTAGCTGCATTTTCATTACTGGAGAAGAGTATATTTTGATGACCATTCTGAGGAGGAAAAGAGCAGTAAGAAAAGTCTGCACATGGATTTATCCAATTCTAGCTATGTTTCTTTCTTTTAATATCCAGCTGTACATCTTTATTATTTCTTTGCTATATCAATCTTAGCTGTGAGCACAATTATATGTAAAGTTTATGAATTCTTTTAGCAAATTTCAGAATAATGGGGTGGTGCAAGGGACTGATCACATTGCTTCAAAATGCCAACAACTCAAATGTCCATCAAGAGCAGAAAGTATAATTATGGTATATTTCTATAATAAAATGCTGTATGACAACATAACTGAAGAATCTGAAACTACATAAAAACAACTGGAATTAAATCTCAAGTAATGAAAAAGTCACTGATTGCATTCCATCTTACATAAAAGTTGTTTCTTCCATACTATACTAAAATATTTTTAGTCAGCAGTTCTTAAATTTTTTAGTCTCAGGCTCCTTTAATTTACATGGATTATATATATTTATATTATA